GTCTTGTTTACTGCCAAGGCTCTGGGTATTACATTTAACTTTTCTCCACTTAAAAAATCAACTACAAGGGCCAGGGATTTAGCTCAGTGATTCCGCCACCTGCCTCGCAAGCGCAAGGACCCCGGTACCAAAAAACAAACAAACAAAAACAAAATCACCAAACTATCTAAAATAAAGAAATGACTTCTGGGAAAAGAGGCTGCCAATGATTTAATTCATTCATAGCGAAGCAGAAATCAAGACGTAGAAATAGTCACGGGATGGCAGAAGGTGGAGGCTGCAACTTCACAAACAACGGAAGACCTGTGCTATGCACGCGTTAAATGGTCTCAGGAAACAGCCACCGGCCCAATGACAGGGGCTCTAACGCGCAAGCGCTTGCCGCATGGCCCCGCCCACCGCACGTGCAAGCAGTTTGCCCCCCCCCCAGGGACGCAAAACCTTACGGAATGATTTCCACCCTGGGCTCCGCTTTTCTGCCTGCGTCCTCATCCCTGAATGGTACTGTAAATGTAAGATGGGTATTTTGTCCACCCACACCTAGTAGTCAGAATTGTAAAAATAAAAACCTCTCTACAACCTCACGTGCCAGAAAATATGATGTTAAAATTTGGTCTCTCCTGAAAAAGAAATGGTTACTACATAAACATCATCTCCAAATCGTACATTAATTCTTTTGATACCCTAACATAAAAAGACACTTTTAAAAATCCATGCTCTTTATAGATTTATCATTAATGTCTAAATACAAAAAGCCAAGTCAGTGAACGCTTTGTGATCCATTCTCCTGAGAGCTTTTACAGAAAATATCTCCGGGTAGGAGGAGAATACTGGATTCTGCAGTCCATATTTGTGTTTCTTATATGACTAAATATATCTAATGACTGCATTATCACATTATCTTCCTGGTGTGGTTTTCTCTTAAAGCTCAGTATCTTATTTCACTGACTGATTTTTTTTTTTTTTTTGAGACCTATCTAGCTCATGCTGGACTTGAACTTGCTCTGCAGCTCCAGCGGGCCTCAAACTCACAATCCTCCTGCCTCTGCCTCCCAAGTGCTAGGATTATAGGCACCTGGCTTTTTTTCCCCTGGGTGCTGTCATTATAGCAGGCATCACCTTAAGAATGTGACTACGAAGTCGCCAAACTCAACAAGGTCCTTCTTCCTTAACAGGTAACTGTTTATTGGGACATGTTAAAAATAAGCCAGCCTGAAAATTTGCCATATTGGAAAAGGAAAAAAAAATGTTTCTAAAACATCTTCATTCACTTAATTGTTCAAATACCTCTCTGTTCTCCTGAAGTAAGCTGTCTGGCAAGATGCATAAATACATTAAAGCCACTTATATAGGTCAGCTCATACGGGGGAGGCTTTTTTTAAGCAGCAGCTGACTAAGCACATTTGCAAGGTGCTAAGAAAGTTCCGGTGAATAATAATATTTTAATCAAACCACAAGGAACAGTGCTGGCAACAACTGTGGGGCTTGGAATCGTCTGAGCACCCGGGAACCCAGCTCGGGCCCTGGCGAGGCCTCCACTGCAGAGGCCCGGGTGGGCAGGGGCGCGAGCGGGGCAGGAGAACCTCCTCATCCCTATCTCTGGGAAGGAGATGAGAGGCGACAGCGGTCCATTTCACAGCTCAATCACACTGCGTTAGCGTGCGCTTATCCGAGCGCGGACGAAATTGAAAGAGAAATAAAAAAGAGCCAGGCAGATAGGAAGCAGAAAAGCGAGGCACGAGCAATTTCCAAGGATATAAAAGCATGCTAATGGCGGGCCCTGTCATTCTTAAAAAGGGCTATTAGGGCACCGACGTCTGTCCCCGTGCCCCGCGCTCCCCCGACCACAGTCGAGCATTTTCTAAAGCCCTTGTGATCTTTCCTCTTCTCCAGATAAAGTATGGTCATGTTTCACAGCGATGCGTTTCCCCATTTGTGTGATGTATTAATGTAAGTCAACTAATTCTATTTACTGATAAAAAAAAATCCACTCCCTATGTATTTTTCTCCAGTATTTTCTTTTCTGCAATTCTCCACTCCATTTGTAGCAAAAGCAAGCATCCAAAAGGGCGTTCCCGGCGGCACAGGGCACAGGAGGGCGACGCCTGGGACCCCAGCGCCGGGGTTCACCTGGAGCGCGCACCTGTGCGTGTCAGCACACGCTCGCTCCGCTGCACGACTCGGGGCGGTTTAAAGGCCACCAAGCCTGCGGTGTTCTTGGGCCAACAGGAAGTGCTGGCTTCCTTTTAACATAACCACCACCGAAAGAAAGAGCGGTCAAGGGAAGTGCCAGCTGGGAACGTCCCATTCTGACCGCGCTTTCATTCTGGCTCTGACCCCCATAAAGATGGAGAACACAACTTCGCGTCTACCAACGTGGCTCTCACCATTCGCTCTCTTTGCCCTCTGCTGTGGGCCCCACACTCGGCAAAGCTCTGTGTGGCCCCCTGATGTCCGGGAACTCAGGCTAAGCAGCTTGCTTCCAGAGGGAAGTATCCACTCCTCCTCCTCCTCAAAATGTTGCACGCACACTGGTCATTACAAAATTAATAGGAGGTTGGCACATCCCTGTCATCCCAGCACTCAGGAAGCTGAGGCAGGAAGATCACCACAAGTCTGAGGCCAGCCCGGGCAACACAGAATTCAAGACCAATTTGACCTACACAGTGAGACCTTGTCACTAACAACCAAAACACAAAACAAAATTGAAAGGGATTTCAGTTAATTCCTGTCTCCCTAATCCCTTTCTGAAAAGCCTAGATACTCCTCCTCCCAATCACTGAAAATGCCCCGGGGGTGTGAGGAAAAGCAGAGCCGTGAATCATCCTGCTCTGGCATCTGCCTCGGGTACCGACACTCACCTCAGGCCCCACAAATGCAAAGCCTCCGCTTAGGACTGAGCACATAATCGTGGAGTAATTGTTTCCACCGCTGGAAACAGCATTACTCAGAGCTATTTTAAGGTTAACATCGCTGCCAGAGTCACGCCCAGGACTGCGTGCTGGAGCTCCTTTGCGAGCTGCCTTTTCTGCTTAGATGCACAGCCAGACCTCAAATCTTATCATCGACTTTGCCTCACCAGAGGCAGGGGAAGAGTTGCTGGCTTTCATCGGTCTTTATTATGGCGTGTCTGGGCCGTATCAAGGTGCTGGCTTAACAATCCCTCAACTCAGCAGACCTGAGCAGAGGCGGGCAAATACCAGGAGGTCTGGACGAACAGCAACAGCCTCGGACGCTGCTGCTCATTAAGGCTGCTACTCTGTCATCACTGCTATGTTGAAAGAGTTCTTTGAAATGCAGTGGACTGGGAGGCAGAAATGGGCTGGCTCTGTTCCCGGAAGCTGTGCTGAACACGCGTTCCGAGGCACTGGGTGCAGCCGGGAGCTCCTGCAGTGTGCTTTCCCCTTCTGCCTCCGATCTGTCTTTGATGGAGGGTACCCGGGCCTGAGGCCTGGGCTGGAACAGCGGCTCCTGGTTGCCAGTTGGAGGGGAAGGAACCAGAGCAGGCTGTGTGGCTGCCCGCCTCGGGGACAGCGGCCAATGTCTGGATACACCTATGCCTTGAGGCTGCTGCTGGCCACCACTTAAACTCTCACATCAGGGAAGTGCACAGCCCCAAAACTAGTACCGCCAAGTATGAGAGAGACACCCCGGGCTAGAATAACAGTATACGAATATGCACGCATACATATGTAACAGTGACAGACTGTATCTCTCTGCACACTGTACCTGCATTCCCTACATGAAGGTCCATGGATACTTCAGCTAATGTTACTTTTGTCCACTCCTTCTCTAGGCTTCTGAACCGCACTCCTTCCAAACACAGCTTACTCTTCAAGCAAATTCTGCCACAGCTCTCAAACGTCTGAACGTCCTTTAAGGTTTCCTTCGCTTCCTTTTCCCAGACTTCACACAGATGGCGTTACAATCACACGCACTACCAACTACCCACGTGATTGGAACCCTCCCCTGTCTTTTACCTGGAGTAACCTTCATGAAGGTATTTGCTGAGGAGCACGCTCAAGCTCACCTATTTAACTAGTTCTGACTTAATTTGGGGTGCTTTATTAGCAACCAGTGTAAGACAAAGTAGCTGGTATAATCCAGAGTGATGTTTAAATTAGTTTACAATTTGCTGGCCTCATCTAGAAGTGCGCCGAACAAAGCCATTCAGAAATGTCAGCTGTGTTCCCAACCACTGTAACAAATCGTCGCTGAAGCCGCACACCTAATGACTTCAAATTAGCTTCACCGCGATATGGCCTGACAGTTCGTTACGACTGTTAGCAACATAGCTGGCGTATCATGACCAATAAATTGGTTTCAGTGTGGGCTGGGAAAGGGACTTCCATCAATTTGATTAAAGAAATTACTGTAGCATTCAAAGCATAAAGACAAACTAGTTTAAGGAGACAGGAGTAAGTTAACTGTACCAGAAAAACACGGCTCAGCCTTCAAAAATTTGACTGTAAACTACTCAGAGTCCAAACAAATGGAAAAGAAGTCAAACAGAATACTGAAACTCTTAAAACACACAATCAGGTATATGTGGACTGATGGCGTAGGATGGGCCAAAAGAGAAAAGTAAAAAAAAAAAAAAAAGGTAAAAACCTAACTATAAATTACCATAGGAGAGAATTCACGTCAACTTAATACTTATTTTCATAATTTTTATACAAAAGCATGGTAAACATCTAACTGTAAACCAAAGACTCATGGATAGGAAGAGCAAATCAGTGTAAATCGCCACTGTCAAACAGGGAAATGCGTGATTCCTAAAAGGAACAGAGGTGCGTGAGAGGCTCTCCCAGCTCAGGGTGGCAGAGAACACAGAGGTCTAGGGTTCCAGGAAAACCAGCCGATCTCCGAAATGAGCGTGATAAAACAGGAATGTGGAGGTTGAAACAATCCTACGGAAAAAAACTCGGATTTTCACAAATAGGGGCCCAGGAGCGGCAAAGCTGCTGTACCCGCCTCCCCCTTGCTTCCCGAAAAGGTACCTGGAATGTGCTTCGCCCACCCGATGATCACCACCAGCTCGCGGTCCGCCAGGTCACACAGGGTCGTGAGGGCCTTGATGTCACTGTCGGGCACGGTGGGGTCGGGCATGGCGTAGATCTTCTCCGGCTCGGCCACCAACAGGTGCGAGACGATCTTGTTATCTGCAGGGTGGGACCACAGAACTACAGCGTCACCGGCAGCAGAAACCCCAGGAAAGCAACCTGCGTCCAAGCGGGTCCCACGCGAAGCCAGCCGCGTCCTCCAGCCGCTGCGGCCAGCACACAGTGGGCTCTGCTCTCTGCTTTACCTGCTTTCACTGGAATGAGCCGTCCACCCTGCGGCGAACACTTTTGCAGCAAACATGAAAGAGAAGTTAGACGCTGTCTGGGTCTGCGGGCGGATTCTCAAGTGGGATTTGGGGGAGCAGATGAAACGGTGTATAACAGCTTTACAATGAAAATCCATGGGAAGCCAGTGAAATTTAGCCCATAATGTGGGAGCCGGGGAACTAAGATTGCCCACCGACAGAACCGGCATGAAAGTCATTAATTCCCTTAATTCCTCTGAAGAGCACAGGTCGGAGCCCTCCTGCCTGGGTGAATCGCTATGCAACTGTTTCCCTGGGATACATTAAGCAGGACTTTTGTTCCTTTCCCCGCTTCCCAAGGCACCGCAGCCTTCAAAACGCAGCCAATATCAGTTTCATAAACTCCCTCCTACTTCCACGGCACAGTACTGTCTCTGCTGAGCGGCCCATTCCTTCATCCTCTATTTCCATCCATAGTTCATTCCCCGCTTCAGATTCATCTGTCTGGAATTGGTAACGTACGCGATACAAACCCTTCATAAAGTAAACACTAGAGACAAACAGACGTGGCACTCAATGTGCCTTCCCGCTCAGGGACATGCGGGACTTTAGGGGGTGCCTTAAAGCTGGGGTAGGGGACTGGCTTTCCTTCCCGGCCCGCCTTTCAATTCCGGCACACAGCTTTACATTTTCTATTTTCTTCTAAGCGAGGAGATCCAGATGGGTGAGAAGAAACCCGCATATTCGAGTTCTATGTACTGTTGCACTAGAAGACCAGGGCGCTAAGTAAATGCTCTGTGAATACTACCGAAGTACAGTATTCACCGTGTTTACCAGTTTGCCTTTTGCTATATATTTTTAATTTTTGTTAAACTCAAAATGACATCTCACACAGTTTAAAATTAAACGCAGCATTCTTTCTGTCTCCTGTCATGAGATAACAAGAAGATGCATACACTCTATAATTAGCATTTTTTCTGATGACACTTTAAAAACTTATAAATATGGCCGTATGAATTAAATTCATTTCAAAAATTTACCTGATAACCAGTCATTGGCAGTACTATGCAATGATCATTAAATTCAACATCACTTTGGTGAGGAAACACTCCCAAATACCACATTTCTTAGGAAAAAGTTAAAAATCAAAAAGAGTCCTTTTCACTTTACAGCATCTGCAAAGAATGACATGTTTCTGGCCTACACGATAGGAGAAACATCCTGCATTCCACTTGGAGAAATGTGAACTTTCATTGCACTGACAATGCACCAAAATCTGCAGGAACCACTGAGTGCCCAGGGTTGGAAGAAAACGCAATAGTAAAAGTACAAAAATGGAACCACAGGAAGTCGTGACTCTGGACTGTTTTCAGCACAGAGTAAATAAGGCCAAGCTGTTTTACCCGAGTCAATGGGTACTTGACTTGAGGGGTCGGAGGAATTGGGTTGAAGCTTAGAGATTCCCATCATTCAGAAAATGGCATAGCCGGCAGCCCTGTTCCTAGGTAAATCTTATTTAATGTTTCCCTAATTAGAATCAATAGAACCCAATTTTCATTCCTGGGGCTTTGCGGTGCACAATCAGTCAGGGTGGAGAAATCTCCCTAGCTACTTTCTCAGCAAAGCTAGGCTGTCTCCTGACACTTATCTGACAGCATCTGAAAATTAAGTTTTATAAATGTTTGTTACAAAAACACACTAATTGGATGGACTAAAGAAAATTAACACAGAGGGCCTCAGATAATGAGTAATGATTTATTAGGAGTCCTCTTTATCTCAGACAAATGGAGCTCACTGCAACTGCTGTAATCTTCTTAAAGGTACTTGACAAGCCACTTCCCAATTCCTCAGGTTTACACAAAAACGATAGACATCCCTTTATCATGTTGACTTACAAACGGCCCGGCTTCATTTTTCTTTCTGTAGAGGGAGTTAGCAATGGTTTCAGCCCATGCTCACATAGAATAAATCAGAAACGGGCAGTGTGTATATTATCAAATCAAGGAAAACTAAGCCTCTAATGAAATTAAGCATTAGTGTTTACTGCGTTTCATTGTATTATCAGAAAGTTTTTTATTATAATGTGCAAAATCTGCTCAGTGCGGGCCTAGATTGTATTTGCAGAATGCCAAACAGCTTAGGCAGGCTGAGGGGCCGATGCCAGATTGGACAATTGAAGGTATAATCAACATAATGTTTTCTGGAAAGGCAAAAGGAAAACTATGCCATATGTTCACTTAAGCTTTAATTTTATGTAAAACCGGCTGTTTTTCCTTTGACATAGCTGAAACGTCCTTTCATTTACAGTTCAGGGGCTGTTTTATTTGTTTAATAGGTTCCCATATGCTCCCAAGTAAGGTACGCAGCAGTGACCCCTCCTGGGCGATCTGAATTAGAGGTGGACACTTTCTCCTTGCAGGGAAAGCAGACAAAACATTCCCACTGCCTCTTCTAGGAAAGCTGGGGCAGCCACTTGCCCTGGTGAGCTTGCATGGTCCTCTGGGACAGTGGCAGCTAAATGCCAGTGAGGACTGTGCACCAGGGCTCCTCCCTGTGCCCGGGATGAGATCCCTGCACAAGCACCCTCCACTGTGGCTCTGCCAATACTAACTGCTATTAACTGCTATTAACTGAGTTCTCGGGAAATGGGATACAGCTATTGCCTCGATCTGTGTTCCAGCTCTTTTTAGTTAATGACAGAAAGAATGGGATTTGTGTTTTAGCAAGGTACCAGCGTGCTTTCAAGTTGCAACCTGGCTCATAAAACCAGGAGCTCTTTAAAAACAATTCATGATGCACATAAGGGCCTCTGAGACGGAACCACCAACCTATGCTTGTTATTAGGGGGCCCATTCCTGTATTAATCTATTGCTAGCTAACCTTCTACAGCTCCAAATTAATGAGGCCCCTAATGTATTTTCATTGGGAGGTTGAGCAGCTAAACTCATTTAGTTAGAGAAAACTACAAAAATCACTTTCTTGTGAAATCTGAAACGAACAGCTCCAATGAACTAATGATCACAGTATGATCCATTTTATGTACCTCTGGAAATGAAGATAACCGGTAAATGTAAAAGGCACACAGGATAAGCTACACAGTAATATGCTTCTGCTTCTGCAGAATGACTAGGCACCAAAAGGGGGGGGGAGCAGGTGCCTTTAACAGGAAAAAAAAAAAAATGATGATTAGTTTAGTCGCTCTTGTTTCTCACAGACAATCCTCCGGGACCGAGCCACTGTTCTCCAATGAAGGGAAGCCTCCTTGGAGTGGGCAGGGCCGGGCCGGGAGCGTCCCTGTGCAGGCGGGGCAGATGCAGCTGTTGTACTTACATGGCTTTTTGGCTGGCTGCACCAGCTGAGGGTTCAGGTACGGGCTGTTCTCTGCATCTATTCTGCGCTTGTACTTCTGCCGACCTCCGCGTACTCTGTCCAGACGCACCCCTGCGGGCAAAGACAGGCACCAGCTTACTGTTTGGGTCGCGATCATCGAGACCAATCAAGCACACTGACAGTGGCCCCGGCAGGGCTCTGCAGCCACACAGGAGAATGCAGAGAGGCCCAGGGGCATGGGAGAAATGGGAAAAACGGCTGGCTAAATTATCAAAATTGTCACAGGTTGGAAACCACTTCTGCCAGCAGACAGTGGACCTGAAAGGCACTGTATACAAAGCCATCAAAGTCATCATTTAAACATCCAAGAAAAGACTGATTTCTGTGTCGATGAACGCACAGAACGCACTTTTCTGAAGCTACTGTAGTTTCTTAGAGACACTGGCATTTCGTATCCTCTTCCTCAGGCAACCCTGAAAGTTCAAAGTGTAGGAGTCAGGGGCCAGGAGACCTAGAACCCCCAACCTCCTACGTCCACAGAGGACTCAATCTGGACAAAGGATGAAAAGCTGGGGCAGGATGCGATCCTGTGCGATGTAACAATGTTCCATAGTGAAAGGTCAGCACGTGTCAGGAGGGGATGGACTTCCGGGTGAAAGGTCAGCACGTGTCAGGTGGGGGATGCGAATTCTGGTTTGGCACATATTTGAATTTCCTGTCCTATGAGGGACACGCTGAGTAGACTGGGGTGAGCAGGAGATGTGAGGGGCTTCCTAAGAAAGAATTAAGAAAACCAAGGGGTTGAAAGAAAGATGTCTGTGATTGGGGCAACCTAGACAGGAGGAGATGAAAACACAGAAGTTTCATTTCTATGAAGGTGGTGATGGGAAAGAAGTTAATATTCTAGCTTCCAGTCTGGAGTTGTAACGTTCGGGACAAGACCAAATGTCTCCTTCCCAAATAAAGCGAACAGGAACAAAGACAGATTCTTGCTGTGGGACTGGGTTGTACCTTAACTGACAGATCAGCGTAACATTATCTATTAATAAATTCAACCACACAATGCATTATACATATTTTGGCATTTCTCAAACTGTTTAGAAAATAGATTTGGTTTAACGGCATCATCAGTATGATTATTTTACTGTAAGACCTCTCAGAGCCGCTGATATGCAAATGCACTCTGTAAAACTCTACAAAGGAGATGTAACATACACATTGTTCTGTACACCAAGGAATGATTTTTTTTCAGAATATTTATTAATGCTGCGTGAAATGAGTGGGATGTAAGTTATCTGAGTTATAGGAGAGAGTTTAGTAAAGGCTGATGCATTTCAATGTAAATCCCTAAGGTGAATTCATTACTCAAATATTAAGTGTTATCAGGGATACAATTTTTCGTAGTACCCTACTACTACTGCTACTACTTTGAGATTTGATTATTTTTGGTTGGAACACACAATGAGCAATTTGGTTCTGGATAAAGCCTTAATTGATACACTGACAGCAGAATATAAATAAAATTAGGAGATAACTTCAGGAACAATTAGGTAGGTCAAACAAATATCAGTAACCAAAGAAGTTAGGGACAGCTCTTAAAATATTCACTGGAAGTTAAAAGGAATATTCACTGGAACCTGTCACACACGTGGGTCACAAGGAAGCTGTTCTTTTAAAAGCACTTTAAGCCCACAGTAGAATCCCATTCCTTTGTTCCTCTAAATTCTTATTTTTATCGCATCGACCTTTACTGAAGTTTAACACTTCTTTATCCATTCATTATGTTGTGTCTTTTTTTGTCTCTTTCTCTTCAAAACTTCCTCTAAGATTTTTTTGTTGTTTAAATAAAGTGGTCCTATGTTATCTTATCATTTAAGAGACATTCAAACCTGTTTCATGACACCACTTTTAAGACTTCCAAATCCTACTGTAATATAAAAAGCATATGACATTAGCTGTAGCCTCGTGTGTGTCATCCGATTCTAACACAAGGGAGACACTTGATCCGGTATTATTAGAGTTGGATAGAGAAGGTGGGGGCAGATAGAGAGGGAAGGGTAGCACAATCTAAAGCAGGCGGGGACATGTTTGGATGCCTCTGAAGTCATTAGAACAAAGAAAGCTTATAGAATAGACCTTCACTTCTTTGTGGACTCCCGATTTTGCTTTTTTGATTGTCAGAAGATGTGGGCACCAATAGCACTGTCTGCACGCAGTGGGTAACGTGCTCTGTGGTCAGTGCTGGTGCAGCCAGGCATCGGGAAGAATGGCAGAACGGGACGGCGAGGCTGCAGACAAACACACACAGCTGTGCTGTTCACACCAGTGCACTGAGCTGGCTGTGTCCACAGAGCAAGGGCGAGAGTGAGAACTCATCTTCACACCCGAAGGAAACACACACGCCACCGTCTTGCAGGATTCGTACGCTGTGTTAGGGTTAACTGTTGTTTTATGAGACATTGAGTGCTGTCCAATTGTTGTGATTTCTGCACATTTCCCTTTCAGCTTTGGAAACTGACTCGGAGAAATATTCACATAACTTTCTCTATGCTTCAACCAAATCTGAAGGCGCAGTCTCTTATGCACCCACCTCCAGGGCTTCCCGTGTTGGTAGATCAACAACTATGCACACATTTTTCTACACCGCCATCTGGGCCCCTTCCTCCACCCACCCAGTGATGCCCCCGTGCCCCGTTTCTGAACATTCAAGAACATTTCATATACACCGTGATGTTATACCTTACTTCCTAATCATTAGGACAAAGCATTCTGTTATGATTTGTAACTTTATATGTAATTCAGTAGAAAAAAAGATTAAAAATCAGATAATAATTATATAGTAAAAATCAGGAGACAAGATGCAGGAAACTGTTCTTGCCAACTGTAAACACCTAATGGCAAAAATTTCTTGTCGATATATTTTAAGATTGTAATAATGTTTCATTCCCTGTCAAAAGCAGGCAAATAGAAATAATTTCAAATACTTCATCTGGGTGTCACGATGAGCACCTGAACTTCTAGCACTCGGGAGGCTGAGGCAGGAGGATCACTGTGAGTTCAAAGTCAGCCTGGGCTACACAGGGAGTCCTTGTCTCAAAAAACTAAAAATGATTCAAACCAATTAATATTACTCAACTCCAAAATCTGCCTTTTATGTATCCTCTGGTGAAATTATTGCTATGGTGACTGTCATTATTTGGTTTAGCTGACTTCATACTTGTTGAAATGTGTGACCCCAAATTACAGTTCCACACAGTAGCACCTATTTCTCCATCACACTAAAACTTCATCAGTGTAATTCATTGCATTGTGGAGAAAATATCATCAATCTCCAAAAGTTAAATTGGCCCTGAGCAGGTCTCTAAACATGAGGACACAGTTGTGTTTTTCTTTTCCCCTTCTCTCTCTCTGTCTTTACTATAAAAGGTTTATTCTTGTAAGCCATATTAATATATATTTAGTTCCGGGGATCAAACTTGGGACCTTGTGCTTGCAAGGCAAGCGGCAGAACCACTGAGCTAAAAATCCCCAGCTTTCAATAACACTTTAATTGCTCTGATAAAAATATTGAACAGATATCATTAAGATGTGTCTAAATTTGCAACATAATTCTACTTTTAAATTTCTCCAAAAAAATCAAATCTAGAAAACTAAAGGCACCAATACAATTAAAACACCAAGTCACAAATGAGGCTGTGTTATAGGAACATAAGACTGGGAAAAATAGTTCTCATGATGTTAACTCAATGGCAAACAAATTCTGTATCATTGAGATAGTACATAGCTTCCTGTTAGAAAGTTAATTTCACAAAAACAAAAAGTAGATTGCAAAGAACAGAAGTATTTAACCAAAAATAAATCCACTGCTATTTAAATTAAAATACCATAAACCAAATATACTGAGTGAAGACTGTTTCTCTTTGCAGTTGTCTGGAACACAAATTTAAACCATGATTTGTTACATGGATACATGAAAATGACATGGTGAACAGGAAAAGTACCTATCCCTAAAAAACAAGGATGAGTCAGTGAAATGGGAAAAGGTAAAAATTACCAAGTTATATTTTAAGTAACTATGTGTAGCTGCAATTAATTTATAGAAAAGGTTTGGCCTAAAACTTTTAGTTCTGCGTATATAAAAAATGAAGGATGAATAATTATACATGTCAACCCCCTGAGTTTGGTCTATTATCTACAGTAATGCTTTCGGAAGTCTTCTACCTTTTTAATGTTCCCAACTATGATAACATAATACTACATTCTTAAAAATGTCAAGACAAATGTCAAGGAAAACAAAGCAGAGTTCACCCACCAAACGGATCAGTTCTTTTTCTAATTTTGAATAAGCAGCTCTGTAAACTCTGGTGGGTCCCCCAACTTTTCCCAGTATGACGTGGTTCTGTGATGTTTTACTGTAATGATCCAATAAAATGATATGGTGAATATTACAGAAATGTCTATTTAAAACAGCTTGTGAACTTTAAAATGACAAGTAAAAATGAGGGAGTCGTTATCACATCCTCATTTTGTTGAATTACTGCCATATTACTTTTTGGAAATATGTTTTCGCTCATGGACCCTGAACTTAGTTTTGCAGGTAGATCGATTTCAGATAGGATGAGCAGGTAAAGCAAATCACGGATTCCAGTCAAATAATGACACCATCCAGTGTCTGACTGAATTATAGAAATATCTGGAATCCTACTTTATTTATTGCTCATTCCTATTAGATATGTACTTTAGAAGAGAAACAAAAGTAAATGAAAAAGTTTTTTTAAACAAAAGATGTTTTCTCAGAGCTTAACTGTAAGTACATAATTATTTATAAATACCCAATTAACCTACTACGTGTAAACAGCTCCAACTAACAACGTAAGCAGTAGCAAACAGCAGCAATATTTACGGTCAGGACCTGGGAAATGTAGATGAGTTACAGACAAAAAGATCAACCACATTCCAATATTTCTGCTAAAGGCAACAAAGTCTATCTCTTTACACCTTCACAATCTTAAACATGAAGGACTTTTGCTTAGACTTCACCAGTGGAATGTTCCTGAAAAAGTTTAAAAATGAAATGTTTTTTTCTGTTCGGAAATAAGATGCTTATCATG